TATTATTTTTTTGAACTACGACACACTCTTCTTATGTTTTCTTACACATTGCCTCGTCTTATTTTCACAATCTGTGATTTATTACTTATTTATAGCTATTTTGGCTAATTTGTCCAAATAAATATACTCATCTCACAAATGATGGGGTCAGAACTGGTATTCAGGACCTCTGGCTCCTAGGCCCATTATCTGTTTATAGAACTTCATATTTGGTAATTAGTTAGCTTAATCACACATCAGCCTCAGGAAGCTGAATCTTTCCCAGAGCCTCCAGATTCGAGCCCAGAATATCTGACAGCTTGATTCTGGACCTGAAAAAGCAGCATATCCCCCACCTCCCATGGACTCTCTACAGTTGCATGTAAATGGTGGTTTTCTGTCTTTTGTAAAATATAATTTTTATTAATCCTTTGAGAATTTCATATAAGAACAAAAACATGAAACATGGGAGACCTTGGGGCTGGAGAGACGGCTCAGCCTTCTTCTGACCTCTGTGGGCATTGCACAACATGGGGACACTTATACACATGCAGGCAATACACTTACATAGATAAAATAAAAATAATAAATAAAAAATTTGAAAACATTGGAGGCTTTTTCATCTTCTAGTCTCACCCTTAACTTCTCTCTTGAGTATTTTGAAATTTTCACTGGAGAGGTCATTCACTTCCTTGGTTATGTTGAGTCCAAGATACCTTTACATGATCTTAAATTTAATTTCATTTAAAATTTTATTGAATTTTATACATTTCATTCTACATCTTGATCACATTTAGACCCGCACCCCCTCATCCCCCACCAGATTTTATGCAATCTGTCATATATATTCAGGCCTATGGAGTTAAGTTTGTGTATCCAAATGAGGCAATTTTGAATGGAATATTTTCCCTCTGATTTCTTCTTCAGCACCTGTTGTTATTGAGATATAGGAAAGCTGTAGATTTGCATATGTTAATCTGTATCCTGCCACTTTGCTAAAGGTGTTTATCACTTCTAAGAGTTTTCTGATGGAGACTTTAGGGTTCTTAAGGATAGAATCACATCATCTAAAAATGTATTCCGATGGTTTCCTCTCCTATTGGCGTCCTTTTCATTTCCTTTTCTTGTTTTATTGCTGTAGCTAAGATTTCCCACATTATATTCAGTAAGAGTGGAAAAAGTGGACCCTTTTCTTGTTCCTGGTTTTAGCGCAAATGAATTGTATGAGAGGATTTGGTTAGTGGGGACTCAGGAGGCATTAGAGAGGGGGAGTAAGGGATTGATACGATTAAAATGCATTATAGTCATGTATGAAATTCTTAAAAGAATTTTTAAAAACAAAGGACAGGAAGTTGGAAAAGGAATGTGTTGGGGAGTGCCTAAGGGAGTTGGAGGGGGAAAGGAAGGATGGATATGAAGAAGATACATTGTATATATTTATGAAATCTTATATAAATATGAAAAACAACACTGAAATTATGTTTCACTCTAGTCAGAATGGCTGTCATCAATAATACAAGAAATAGGGGCTAGAGAGATGGCTCAGAGGTTAAGAACACTTGCTGTTCTTGCAGAGGACCTGAGTTCAAATCCCAGCACTCACATGGTGGCTAACAACCATCTGTAACTCCAGTTCCAGGGAATCTGATGCCCTCTTCTGTCCTCTCTGGGCATTACATGACATGGGGGCACTAACATACATGCAGGCAAAACACTCTAGCTCTAGGGGATCAGACACCCTCCTCTGGAGTCTGTAATCACCTGCATACCTACATACACACAGATCTAAGTAAATTAAATTTTAATAAATGTTTTTTTATTGAGTTTTTGTGCATTTTATACAGTATCAATCATATTTAGACCCCTCTTCTCACCCACATGCCCCCATAGCTTCCCCCATTGATTTTTATGCATTCTGTCATATATTTTAAAGCCTATCTGGTCAAGCTTTTATACCCAGACATCCCTCAGTACAAGTTCATAAATTAATTTTTTAATTTAAAAAGAAATGTAACTTTAGCTACTTTTCCTAAATGTGTGCAGAATTTTTTTTATGAAAAGAGATCTGTGTAGTGCTTTGTGCATAAAAACTAGAGACAAGCATTACCCTAGTCTTGTTAACTGTCCCAAAATTTAGTCATGATAGGCAGACATCTGTGAAGAAGAGTCTGTGACAGTGCAAACTCCTCACTGGGTCTGTGGTTCCCAGTGTTTTTTTGTCCTCATATTATATATCTTGTTGTCCTTGAGCCTTTAGTAAACTCTTGAGTCATCTTCCATCCATTCATGAAAACATCTTCCACCTGGAGGTGGAAAGTGAGTCAATGTTTGCAGCTGGCGTGGAATGCTATCCTTTGATCATAATAGCTATTAACTTCTTAATTAGAACAGCTTAGCCCCTTATATGTCCTTTGAGGATAACAACCATTAACTCCATAATTAGAACTATGATTACCTGCAAGAGGATCTCAGAAGATTTGTCCTGGTGATGTTCCCTCACAGAAGGAAGGGGTGGGGAAGGTCATTAGACCTGAAATTAGAGTCACTCCCTTCTGTAACCCTTCCCAGCTCTATGTAATTCTGCCGCAGCTATATATGGTCTCTGGAGATGCTAGAGTATCCAGAACAGTAACTGAAGGTGGAGTTCCATCTATGCAGCTGTGGGGAAGTCCTCACCATGCTGGGAAAGTCCCCATCCATGCTGGTGTGAGACATTTTGGTGATGAATTTGTTTTGTAATTAACCCTGTAAATAACCCCTCACTGATGTGCCTGTTAATAAGTCAAATAAATTCACCAGTTCACTCATCTAGACATGGATGGACTAATCTCTCTTCTGTCATTAATCCTCTGTATGCGGTGAGTAGATACTTGTCTGCCTAGGAAAAGTTAATAAAAAAGATCTCATGTATCCTCCAATGTGCTTGTTTCCTTTAGATTTCAGGATAATCAGCCAGCCAGCCAGCCACTCCCCTCCCCTCCCTCTATTTTTTCTCTCTCTCTCTCTCTCTCTCTCTCTCTCTCTCTCTCCCCTTCCCTCTCTGAAATATATAGATACATCTGGAGCCAAATATACAATCCTTGATTCGATTTCCATGGGTACATTTTGTTTTCAATTTTTTACAAGTTGAGGTAACAAAGACAAATACAACACTTTCCTGCCTTGGTTCAACATACCCCATGGTTTTTACCGCTTTAACAATAAGACACCTTATTTTCCTATAAAAACCTACTCTGGAATGCTCCTTTCCTGAGTCTAGACTCTCAAACAGGCCTGGGTCTCCTGATCAGAGCTCCACTTTTCCACTGTTATGGCCTCTCTGCTGCCGCCTTGGCTCTCAGCTCAGTCCAGAAAGCCACTTCCTTGTCTTTCAGCCTCTGGGCTGACTGGGTTGGGACTCCGATCTGCAGGTACCCTTCCTGCTGGTCGTACTGTGGCCAGTGGGGAAGCCCTTCTCCATTAGGGTTCCTGTGAACAGAATTTTTTTAAAAAAGAAATTTGTCAAAACAGCTTTGTTGTCCCCACAGCTTAGACATTTTCAAGGATGTCCTCCTGACTTATCTCTGCCAAGAAGACTGTAACCTTCAGCAGATAGATCATTCACCATCTCCTGGGACAGTCTGCTCCTTGTTATAAAGTTGTTACTGAGAAGAGGATCATAGATAACCTGCTGTATGGTTCAGAAGACTTGTCAATTGGTTTGTGAGGGAATTTGGAAATGTTTGAAGAAGTGTTCCTGGAGCCTGGCTACAGCTCAAGTCAGCGTATCATCCACACTGACTTGGCATCATCCACATGGTCCTGACTTTGCAGTCATGCAGAATGCAAGATTTAGGAGGTCATCAGGGCTTCTACATAGATACCAAATGAAAGTGTGGCCAGAAAGTATGTGGCAGGTTTGGAGTCCCTGCTAACAACTCTTAAGGCTGATGATGCTATGAAGACCCTAGCAATTTAGAAATTCCAGGACCTGGGAAATCTGCCGAGGAAAAGCTAAGGCCATGACCAGAGCTAAGCCCAGAGGGGCCCTGGGGGCTGCAGTCAGCAAGACCACAGGGGAAGGGCTTCCCAAGCCTTTGGAGACCCATATCTACCCAAAGGTCCTGGATGCCTGACATGGAGCTTTAGGATTTAGGATTTTTTTTCCTGCTGGATTTTGCTTGGTTTGCTCCAATTTCCTATTGTTAACTTCTTGTTCCTCCCCTTGGTACTGGGAATATTTAGCCTTTGTCATTTTATCTTGTAAATGAGTACATTTTTTTCCTATGGGAACTGACACTTGAGCTTGCCTTGAGTCTTGGAGGCTCTAAGAGATGAGTTAAATTCATTTTTATCATGTGATGGACATGAGTTTCTGGGACATAGGGGGAAAAGGTTATAATTTAGAACTTGAATAGTCCCCTAAAAGTTCACGTGTTTAGTCCTTGATTCCCATCTGATGGTACTATTAAGACACAATAGAAATTTTAGGAGGTGGGACTAGTTGGGAAAGGTTGATTTTTTTGGAGGCGGGGGCATGCCCCTGAGGAGTATATTGGAACCCTGGTCCTGTTCTCTGTATCTACTTCCTGACCATCAGTAGAAAAGGAAATTTGATGTACCAGATATTCCCCACCATGACATTCTGTATTAACACAAGATCGGAGCTAATAGGCCAAATGACCAAGAATTGAAGCCATGGAATATGTGAGTTCAAGTTCACACTTCCTTCTTTAAACTATCTCAGAAATTTCATCACAGCTATGAATTTGATCGTTAGAGTCTGATGCACACAGAAACAAGAGGATGATTGCTCAAATATTAGAAAACACTCCTTTTCAACAGGGTTACCCCACTGCATTCCCCAGGTCTGACAGGTCATTGCTACCAGACTTACCCATTCCGAGCAAAGTTGGCCCAGAATTTCATCACCATCTTGCTGAGGTTAATCTCTTCTTCTAAGGCACCCTCTGTGAAGAAGAAGGAATAAGCTTTAGCCACACGTGCTATGGTTCATAAATCACCTGCAGCAGCAGTAATAGCAACAGAACTTGGGATCATTTTAGAAATTCAGAGTTTTGGCCCTCACTACATATTTACTGAGTCAAAAATCTGCAATTACGAAGATCCCGGAGAGTAGACACGCACTTTAAAATCAGCGGGCTTCCTTCGTCTCCCATGCTTACATTCCAGGGCCTCCCTTCTTGGGGCCCAAATGCCACAACCCTCTGTTTCCTCAGTCTTAGCAGGGTTGCTGGTTCGTGAATCTTTTCTCAATCCCCTATACACACATCTTTAAACAGAATCTGAAAAGTTTCACAACTACAAAGTCCCTAAGACATCAACCAGCAAGGAGACTCTCAGAGACTCTGGTGTGTCTTGAGAGACATGAGGTTGGTTACCACTTATATGAAACTACTGACAATTAAAATATTGAAGACATTCGTGAAAGGTCTCCTTAAATACCATATCATGAAATCTAGGCAAATATATATTTCATATTAAATGCCTAGATGGGCAGAAGTATGATGGAACCTGTTCAAGGCTGGAAAATTTTCTAATTTTCCTCTCACATTCCAAAATGTTCTTATAAGAAGTAAATTAAATAATAACATTCCTGCCCTTAATATGGCTTTATGGGAGACATCACCTCTGTTACTGATGTCAGAAGACAGGATTATGAGAGTGACTCTGGATAGAGACACATGTGTGTTAAAGCAGGAGAAAGGTCAGGGACTGCCTAGTATATCTCAACTCTGTTTCAGAGAATCAGAAAAGTAAATTTAAGAGAGAAGGAGAAATGTGCTAAAGGCTACCAATCCAGGACCCAAACCCAGGCCTCCTAACTCCAAGATCGCAGCCAACAAAGAACCATTACCTTTTAAAAGTGGAGCCCCAAATACTGAGTAGAGCTCATCGAAGTGGTCTCCTAACACCGTCTTAGGTCTTGTGTCTAACACAAAACTTGGGCGATACTGAAACTCATACATGAAGGTAGGGGCTCCAGCATCTGTGAAGACATGGATTCAGATGCAGTTTATATTACCAGATTCACATTTGAGTAGTATCTACTACTAGATACTTAAGTCCTTCAGGAAAACCCATTTTTCTGCACAGAGTATACGCAATTTCAAGAAAGCCCAGTGACGTGGTAAGGGTTGGTGTGGAATTGGAATTTGAACCAGATGTTTCTGGATGAAGAATAAATGGATCTGTGCATCAGACAACGTACTATACGTGTGTCAATGATGATACATGGTGCTGGTGCTCACTGACTCCAAGATCTACACCTAACAGGTGCCTTCCATCCAGCCTACTTTTGAACATCTACCAGAACATCTCTTCAGAAAAGACCAAAGCAAGTATAAGCTGTTTCTCTGGAAATAAGGATTTTTACATGCAAATATATGCAGAGATGTAATGATCTGTCCCTTATGTTTAAAGAAACCACAAAACTCAGGGTTCATGTTTCATATTCTACTTCTGCTTGGGCCAAGAGTGTTAAATCCTTTAAGGTGGTAGCAAAACAGAGCAGAGTTCAGGGAAGGAGAACTCCCTATCTCCTGGCCTCTCTCTTCTTCTCTCTCTTCTCTCTCACAGCCAGAGATGCTCTTTGCAGAGGTTCAAATCCCAGCACCCACATGGCAGCTAACAACTGTTCATAACTCCAGTTCCAGGGAATCCAACACTTTCTTCTGACCTCCATGGGCCTTACATGACACAGGTGCCCTTACATATATGCAGGCAATATATTCATACACATAAAATTAAAATAATAAGTAGAAATATCAAAAAAAGAAAAGAAAACAGGCTGAGCACAGGCCAGAGGAGAAAGTCAGTAAGCAGTGTTCCTCTGTGGTCTGTGCGTCAGTTCCTGTCTCCAGGTTCCAGCTTGAACTTCTGCCCTGCTTTCCCTCAATGATGAACTGTAGTCAAGACTGTAAGCTAAACAACCCTTTCCTCACCAGGTTCATTTTGGTCAGAGTGTTTTATCACAGTGACAGAAAGCTAAGTAGAACAAGACAAGAGCCAGCTGCATACAGGGACAGACCTGAGGCTGGGTGTCAGCTTCCCACATTTTCATATACAGATATGGACAAATCCAGCGGCACCACTGACCATCATCAGACCTCCCTTCACACTTGTCACTAATCCTTTCTTTTGACCTTGTTGGCTCTTAAAATTCATTCTGATCTTGAAAACATTCAGAATCTTCTAATAGCTGCATTGTAGCCTCACTTACCACAACATCCTCAGTGAGAGAGCACCTGTGGCAGGTGCTGCTGAGGCTTATTGACGGTTAATCTTCACCTGTTTAAACAAAGATATGCTGAGGTTCAGAAAAGAACAGCTCTGGGTGTGTCTGTGACGTCATTTCTAAAAACTAGATTATGAAGCCGCTGACCTAATGGACAGCTTAATCAATTGATGGACTCAACATTTCAACAGACTTATTATCAGGAGGCAGAACTGTAGAAGGTGGGACCTGTTGTAGGAAGTAGGTCAGTGCAGCCATCTGCAGTCTTACTCTGGATGATTTCTGTTGTTCCCGTACACCCTCCCACCACCACAGTCCAAAACCCCTGAGACACTGAGCTAAAATAAATCTTTCCTCCCTTAAGTTGTTTATGTCACCTTACGTCAAAGCACTGAATAAAGACACTATTACAGTTCCTTGCTAGTAATAGACCATGTTTCAGGGTAGGCCAGTGAGATGTCCACATGCAGCATGAATAGCTCTTGTCTAGGCAGTTTTTATGGTCATAAAACAACTACACTCATGTCGGCAGCAGATGAAGGTGCCGCAGAGCTAACAAGCTGTGGAGGAGCATTTAACTGATGAGATGTGACCACTGGTGGGTAAATATATGCCTCCTTTGCAGCTCAGAGAGGATGCTCTCTCTGCTTGCTGCCCAGAGCTCTCCAGCTGCAGTTGTCTAAGACGGACACAGGCTGAAAAGCTCTCCAGATTGTGCTCCATCCTTTCCCTGTGTCATGTCCGCATCTCTCCTCTCTATGGTATTTTCTGGGATCACCTTGTAACTTAAATTGCATGTGGACCCTTTTCTCATAGAGTCCTATTGGAAGAAGCAAAACAAGACATTGCAGACCATATGGAATCAGCTTTGTGAGGTCTGGCCCTCAGCAGGTTTCATATATGTTTGTGGTGACAGGTGGGCAGGTCAGGGAATCTAGCTGGTGAACCTCTGTCCCTCTGCTCCAACACATGAGACTCACCTCTGTGGCCACGGGACACCAGCACAGATGGGACACCAAACATCACATCTGCAATCAAATCTAGGAACAGGTCTTTCTTTTTGACAAGGTCATCTGTCCCTCCTAAATACTTCTCAGTGGCCGCTGGAATCAGATTCTCAGAAATTTTCTGAAATAGATCAGAAAGTGATTAACCCACCTGCTAAGTACTAAGGCTTCCCTGAGTAACTGAGAAAGTTTCACTGATCCAGAACAAGTTGACTGATGTGCCAAATCCTCTTGCTGTTACCAGTGGAAGAGCAAAATAAACTCTCTAGATTCACTTGATTTTAATTGGTTTTAAGTCATTAATTGTGAAGGTCAGGCATACGAGCAACATATTATTATTGTCCCACTAGCTTTAGTAGAAGCGACTAAACCCGTCTGACCCTTCTTGCTTCAGAATAGTTCTCCACTGAATGCTATCTCCAGCTGATACTGTAAAAAGGCTGTTTCTCTCTGTCTTCCCTGGTCATCTAGGAAAAGCATCTTTTTGCTATTCTGGGGAAAGACACATTTTGTACTCTAGTAATTAACTTCAAAATAAATTAGTCCAGGGAAGTGGAATGAAAAGTAAATGGGGCCTATGATTTGCTAGTCACTGATTTTTATTTTGATTCATAGAGCCCAAAACATTCAGAGACCTGCAGGTAACAGTGGCCCATATGTCAGAGCATGCCCCATCCCCCAAATTTTTGAGTACTGTGGTGCCAGCTATCAGATATGGCTTTGCATAGCTAGCTACATAAGTGCAATTCCTAGATGTGATGGTCTTTGCAGGTGATAGCTTCCATCCTCCTGGGGTTGCTAGCTTTCCAAATAAATCTTTATCCCAACAATGTATCCTGGAGACAATATGATTCCGAATGGCCAGAACAAACGTGAGTTTCTTGCACAGGTGGTAAAGTGGGAAAATCAGAAAAATGGAGCTTGAACCCCAGATCTCAGAACTTCTTAGCCAGCGATTTAGTCTGGGTTTTAGGGGAAGAACCCATCCTTCTTCCCATGATTCCCCAAATTCTTACAGTCAAGGGGTAGAACTGCCACAGGAGGGAGTTGGCTGTCTTCTGGTCCAGTTTGCCTTCAGAGAATGGAAAGCCCATCCCCTGTTAAAGAAATGGTTAAGCATTGGTAAATCATGGGGAAGTAACAAGAAGAACAAAACAGGTTAAACAACCAAATCAACACAAAAGAAAGTTTCTTCACTGGTCCTTGATAGTTATGAAATTTCAAATTTTACAAAATAATCAATGAAACAAGTTTATTTATATCCAGAAACTTAGGCAGTACAAGAGGATATTTTGATATATGTAATATATAATGT